AAATCTACGAAAAATGTCTGTTATATATTAAGAACTATGTTGAGATGAGATATATTTCAACAAGAATGAGGATGAAAGTGAGCCTGGCTGCCCTGATCCAGATTTCGTGTCGACGAAGGCACTCGTTAGATGACTTTGACTCTGTTGTAATTGTTCGAATGATTTCTTGAATTTATATAGTAGTATCAAATGATACCAATAAAAAGCTACACACTAAAATAAAATGTGTCGTATATATGTGTCGTACAAGAATGTGTCGCAGACTCCATTATAAAAATGTGTCGCATTATAGATGTGTCATAGCCTATATGTCAACCGTTCATTCACCATTTTGTTTTGCGAGTGCAGCTGCATATAGCCGAGCCTATTGGATGTACTTGACTTACACATTTTCGTATGCCTTTTTTTTCTAGATTATTTCTCGACCATTTATTATTCGAGAACATGTCGAGAGGTCGCTAGATGATCGAGAATGGATTGCCTCGAAGTAGTCTGATCGAGATCAAATGGTCTCGAGACAGCTAGATCTTAAGATCTACCGTCTTGAACTCCAAGAATAGATGCTACTATTTGAAATTAACTGAAAAAATAGTAACTATTCGAATTTTCAAAAAAAAAAAATCCTCGTGCCGAAAATGGATTCAAACCACGTGTTAAAAATGTGTCGCACAAGAATGTGTCGTACGTCCGCTGGAAGCAATGTGTCGCAACGAGCTCCTCGTGCCGCATATTAATGTGTCGTACATTGTGTCGCAAAGTACGACACATGCGACACATTTTATCTTAGTGTGTAGTACGCAATGCCACTGTATTCTCCTCATTTGTATAAGAGTTGTTGTCTCGATAATCCAGTATTCACATTAAAGACCTTCTCTATAATATCTGCGCATTTTTCTGTCATGTTACAAGAGTCCACGCACGAATTGTTTGTCTTCTCTTCATACTATAGAAAATATCAACAAATGGTGGTTGCTTGCGAGACGAAAGACAAAAATTGCCTGGCTACAGGCTCTTGTGCTTGATTACCTGCACGTGTTTCGTTAACGTGAGAGAGCTAGCTAATGTATCTTCTTTTCTTGTTATAGATTAATTACAGATAATGTCCATTACGTGTTCGATGAGAAAAAGACGCTGTCTATTGGCACGTCTCTCTCACCGATTGCTTTTTTTTTCGGTGAAGTGAAAGAAAGAGAATCCACGCATCACTGATCACTGAAATAAAAAATGTATAAAAAAGTGCGTTCGTCGCATTTTTATTCAGTTTTTTTTGCTTTCATTTCGATTCACAACTAGTGTATTCACACATTCTGCTTCGCCTTTTGCCGTTCTTGTACATTATTTGGCGGTAAGTATCATTATATTATTTGTGTTTAGTCTACACTACATTTTGTTTCAATGACGTGCATCTGAGCCTATGAAGTGAAGGAATAACAGCGGCCAATAATGAAGGGACATAGACATGGATTTGTCAGAGAATTTTAGTTCTATTACCCTCTGAGAAGACTGGCCAAAGTAAAGGTGTGAGAGATGACTTCTTCAGCAATCGAAAATGTCGATTGGACGGTATACTGAAAGTTAAGGATCTTTCAAGTGGGATTTAGAGATAGGCTGTTTTCTTGGATTCAAACTCTAGCGAAACGTTT